TGTACATATTGTCAAATCTCATTTTTATTCGTGTTTGGAAGGTTTTCACTAAGAGGGGTTTAAGTGGAAGATTTAGTGACTGTTGCAATTTACAAATGTGCTTGGAATTTGGACCAAAAACCAGAGTAAGTCTCTGCAAGGACACTCACCGTTGTACCGGGTCTTGCCCCAGCCGGTGGTGGCGCACAGGGAGCCCACAGGGAAGCTGGCGTTGGCGCTGGGCAGGCAGACCGGAGACACCGTCCCGGAGAGGCGGGCGGGTGTGGCCAGCTTCAGCAGGGAGATGTCATTGCGCACCGTGCGCAGGTCCCACAAAGGGTGTTCAAAAACCTGTGCGGAAAGGGTGGGGGCTGGGCAGACCGCGGAGGGAGGACTTAGAAGACTTAAGGGGAGACAAGGGCCTGGAGACTCAGGGGGCTCGGTGCCAGTGGGGCGGGGTGGTGAGAAAGGAACGATGATGGGGCTGAACTGACAAAATCTGGAGTGGTGGGAAAATGGCATATGATATTTTGCCTTTTCCTACAATGAGCAAACCGTTATCAGAAACAACCTGTAAAAGAGCTTTATTATTTGGAAAAGAGATGAAAAGAAATCTCTGACCACAGGTTGCAGGTGGGGTAAGGCCTGAGCCACTGATGGGGATCCCCTGCCCGAGCCCAGACTCCTCGGGACTGCCTGGCTGTCTGTACCTCAGCGATCCTCAGCACCTGCACAGCCTCCTCCTCAGAGCCATGATCAGACACCCCAGCTATCACGAGGTGGTTCTTCCTGGAGAAAAAGGAGGGGGCAGATGGAACTCAGGATCAACACCACCTCCTCAGGGAGCATGGGGGAGTGTGCGAGGCTGGGTGAGCCCCAGCTGGGCCACAGACTCATATGGTGACCTCAGGGCTCAGTTTCCCCATCAGCATGGTGAAGGCAGAGCCCAGACCAGCTGTCCTGGACCAAGCTGGGGTCTGGGGAGGTGGGGTGCTAGGGTAGAGGCTTTCGGCAGATTGAGGCTCTACCTGCTGCTGGCGGACAGGAGCAGCTCCTCCCTAGCCTGCAGGTTGTCC